TCTGCCATTGGGAGCAACGCGATTGGCCAGGCCTAGGTGTCCACCTGTCAGGCAGAGCCGCAGAGGTTGAGGGATGTTGTATTGTGGAAGTGGGTGCCCGCTAAGGCTAGGGGACCAGGGGACCACCATGGAATGACCCACACAAAAGTCAGGAGAAAGATCAGTGGCATTTTCCAACTCGAACGCTGTTGCTCTTCCTGCTGGCCACGATGACTCCAGTACTTGGGATCCAGACGTTTGAAGAAGCCAAAAACAAGGATTTTAACTGTTTGGAGCGCCATGAAAATGTATTGTCCAATCAAGGGTTTCTGTCAAAGCTATGGGGCTATCGCGATGTTCTTGCCGGTATCCCGAAGCATCACCTCGGGTTGGAGGAAGAGGCAAGCTGTCGCGTTTTTGCCCCAAGTGAGTGGATGAGCGGAAGCTTCAATATCTGCATTCCCATTGAGGTCAAGTCGCGCAGCTTCAGTGGTCAAGTCATCGTCCGGTGTCCATTGCCATCGAAGCTTGCGGAATCTCGATATCCCGGAACCGTTGATGAGAAGATGAGCACAGAGATAGCATCATATGTGTTCATGCAGAAGGAATGCCCTGGAATTCGCATACCACGCCTTCACGGGTTTGCTTTTGGCAACGTACAGGTAGATTTGACCATCAAATACTCCCATACCATGGCTGCTAACGGACCAAACGCAGTGCACTCACCAACAACACTTGTCCCTCTACCGCCGAATTATCCACAGTTCTGAGCAGTGGATCCGTAGGATTCTTCGGCTCGATCCCCTTTCACAATACGCTCCGCATAAGAGCGCAATAGCTGTTCCGACACAATACCTCCTACTCGAATATATCCGACCTGAAACAGGGAGAGTGCTCTCCGAAAGCTGGGAAGAACACAACCATGATCCTGCTCATCGTCGAGCACTGTTTCGCGGTATAGCTCATACTATCCTGAGCCTCGCTAAAGTCCCACAGCCACGCATTGGGTCTTTCCACTTCAACGACAATTGTACGATAGCCCTGAAGAATCGACCGCTTCTTACCGCCGAGATCATACTCGAGAGCGAGGGCATCCCAAGGTCTATAGAACCGGGGCAGACGTATGACTGTACCGAGCCATTTGTTTCCGATCTAATTTCGCTCCATGATAATCGTCTTCGGTACGATCGGAGCGCAGCGGATGATGAAGTTGACTGCCGCAGCCAGATGGCTATAAGGGCACTATTGAGGACAATCTCACATCACTTTACCCAACATGAATACCGCCGTGGCCCATTCCTCTTACAATTTACGGATTTCCACCAAAGCAACGTGATTGTGGACGAAGATTGGAATATTCAGTGTCTTATTGATTTAGAATGGCTGTGTGCTCTGCCCGTGGAGTCATTGCGTGTTCCGTACTGGCTTACAGGACGTGGCATCGACGAGCTGATAGGCGATCACTTGACGGAATATGAGGCTCTCAGACGGGAGTTCATGGTTGTCTTTGAGGAGGAATTATCCGGCGTGAGGCTCGCGTGGCCACTGACGCGGATCATGCAGGAATCGTGGGACTCCAAGGCTGTCTGGTTTTGGTCTTGCCTATTTTTCGTGAATGCTGCTTTCTTCTTGATAACAGACCACCTGTGCCCAAAATATACATCGCGTCTATCGGAAGCAGTCGAGGAAATGCTGTCTAGTCTCTGGAGCGACGACACGGCTGGATTCATTGAAAAGAAGGTTCGCGACTATGCTACCTATTCGAGCGAGCTCAGTCGATTTTATGCGCAATGATATAGGCAAAATGACGCTTTGCTCGCTCGCAGGTGACAGCGATCTGCGCCGTCTCGACAACACCGCTGTAATCAGCCGAGGAATAGTCGGCCTTGTCTGCCATGGTTGCCAGCCGGTGCGTTTTAAAAGGTAGGCGTTCATCTATTGAGAGAGGACTGCTCACCGGAAGAGACTACTTAAATCGGCGGGTTTGCGTGGACTGTCTAGAGAAATTTAACAGTGCCGCGCTTTATGAGGCTTCTTTCGACCCCGCACGCGTGAACTAGGCAGCAATGCCGTCAGGCTGGCTGTGGCCGTGTGACTGGGTCAGTCACTATCATTGACAATTTGCTGAAGCGTTAGTAGCCGAGCAATTCCAGACCCAGGGATAATCAGTCATCAGTGCTCTAGCTAAGTAGTCTTTTTTTGATGTGCATCCCCCGCAACGCCATACACAAAGAAGACTCACTTTTCTGGAGAGTTTAGGCTGGCGTATCGCTGCTACTAGTAGATCTCTCGGCATTGCTGCTGCCGGACAAGTTCGAGTTCAATGACTAGAAGCAGGCCTCAACACCATGCACGTGGACTTGTCAGCGTGTACGCACCTGTAGCTGCGTCTCGCCGTTGTGCGGGTTGACTGTGATGCAAAATGTCTTTATGTCGGCTCGGCATTACGCTTGTGATCCTGGTCCTGTCCACTTGAAGCCGGATCGAGGCATGCTGTTGGTAAGTGAAGAGGCCAAATACAGGACAATGTCGGCATTGCCGCCCAAGGAGTTCTTGGCGCCGTAAGATCGCACATACGGTGCAAAGTCGGATTTCTCGCGTCGCGCCGACGCAGCTTCAGTTATCATTTTCGGACATCTCATCAGTTCCACCGCAATACATTAACCGGATCAATGAGTAACCTGCCGACTAAATTCAGACAGCTGCAGGGCGAACACCATCCATAATGTATCGTTCTACATGGGATAAAGTATTCTACTTTGCAGGATAGATTTTTTTTTTCTCTTTTTTTGTCTTTTTTCTTTCTTTTCTTTTTTTTTTTTTTTTTTTTTTTTTTTGCGGCGCGGGTAACGTATCTGTAAATAAATCAGTACAACAACTATAATCACCACAATAATAGCTACAAAGATCCCCAAACAGATCCACTTTCTCCTTTACGCTTTGTGAAAGCCCGACTTAACTTACTAGTACTGCTAAATAGTTTACCTTAGGTGACGGTCGACATAGCTAACACAAGGTCTATTCTTAGGGGTATTAGCCTCGGGCTTGGACTTGACGGTGCTGACACGCTGGCTGAGCTTATGATACCAGGCTATAGTTTCAGAGGATAAGGCAAAATGTATCTTTATGATAACTAAAGGTTAAAGAGTAAAATTAAATCCTTATTTTTGAATAATCTTCTAGATAGTTATAGTCAATAATATAAGTAAAAATATTAATTAACTTAGTTATCTTAATTATTAAATTATTTCTATACTTTAATATAACTATTAGAGCTTTTATAGTAATATCTATAAAGTCTTTTTAAGGAGTATTATTAGCTATTATACTTAAAGAAGGAGTAAATCATTAGAGAATAGGGGGTACCTCGTAATATAGCTATATAACTACCTAACCAAGCCCCCTAGTCTAACCCATACTAGACGGGACTTTTGAAAGCGACCTCCGTACTACACAACGGTTTAGCAACATCTCAAAGGCTTCCACGAGGCATATCCGCGGTACTCGTGCTCAAGAGTTTAGGCACGTAACAAAGCATAACTTGACTAGATACAAAATATATATTGGCAGCTAGCAGTATACAACAAGAACAAAGAGAAGCCCGTATCAAGCCAACTTTTTACAACAATCCGCGCAGACACCAGCCAACCAATGTCCCCCGTATATTCTCTCATCTATCTAACCATCTAGCCCCGAGACGGGGAAAAACAAGACCAGACACCTACCACCACTTCTGGGAAGCGTCACGGGCAACATTGGTAGCGCAGTGAACCTCGCCCGCGTGGGCGTGGTGGTCAAACCAATCATCAATATACGTAATATTGAAGCCATACTTGGCGTACTCCTTATTCGCCGCCGCCGCAAGGATATCCGCTCCGTCAACAACCGGCCCCCACGGGTTCGGCGCCAAGTACTGGCCATTGTTGAATACGACGCCATTAATGACGGCCGGGTGATAGGCAACGAGCTTGTCCTCTATATAATCTGTTATAATCTATCATAAAAGTATATAACTTTTACGACCTTAGGTAACCCCTTAGTCGGCCACAAATACCTTTTCTGATAGGGGCGTCTGGTGTTAGTAAAAAGAGCTATTTCCTTCCTATTTTCTAGTAACTCAGTCACTCTCAGAATACTGGTGACTTACTTGCTTAGGTACTAGCTGCTGTACGGCTGCTGTACTGGCTGTACGGCTTCTGTACAGGGGATAGACGGTACTTTGTACTGTGGCCCGCCGTGGCCCACCGTGGCCAGCCCTGTGGGTTCTTCTTCGATATATCTTACAGTGGCTGAGTCACTTTTTAAAAAAAAGTCAAGATCAGGGCATAAACAGGGGTCCATAAAGAAACAAAGCGTACCAACCCGTTGATATGAACTGTGGCATAAATGTTTAATCGTCCATAGTCAAGCAATACATAGTACCCGTCGTGCTCTATCATAACCTAGCTCAATTCAAACCACTATAAAATACAAGATACGATGCGTCCAAGGGCGAAAATAAATCCTCAACACGACTTGCAACAGGCACTTGGCACGACTTAGAAAGCGCTATACTCCTTGACAGCTTTCCACGGGTAGAGACTTAGAACGAAGCATGTCAAGGGTTCTACGTAAGCCTATAACACAACATTAAAGTAACATTCAAAGTTTTTACAATTCCGGGTCCCGTTCCGTCAAGCCGGGGCTAGGTGTGGGATAAAGTAGATGAATGCGGGGCAGTCGCGGGATACTTGCATGATGCTAGAGTAAGCAATTGATTCAGCAGACGTTCTTTATAATAGGGGGACACTAGAATGGACAGTTCCCGACGTTAAATCAGGCTAAGATGATGCCATCGTTTTAACGATCCTTGACCATGGATAAATTACGTTAAGTGAAGTTCCACCGGACCAGTTTCCGCCGACAAATAGGTGTTAAAGGGGGTTGGGAGTAAGCAGGACGAACTGGACGTGATTTGCGCCTGGCCACGGGATTTGTGAGTTGTCCTCTCCAACTCTTCCCATAAAAATCAACCAGAGTTCAGTTGCAGAAGCTAATAATACCTTGACCGTACAGGACATCGTCACCGGCGGCATCACGCAGGTCGCTCTTGCCGACGACCAAAGTCGACGTACATGGGCGGCAGCATCCCGGGCAAGGGTGTACGAGCCGGTCTGCTTCGTCCGGCGGCACCGACGTCTACGCAAAGGAGATTTCACGAAGGCGCTGGAGGACATGGAGGGCGGGTTTGACGTGGGTCAAGGACAAAGTCATCAAGAGCATGTTGTGAGCAGCACTGTGGGATGTATTGACAAAGATGCTTCATCAGGGCAAAGATGGATAACATTGTACCAGAGAATGCATCACATCGTCTCGTCATCGATTCCTACGCAGAGCCGCCCTTGGAATCATGAAACTCCTTGAACTAGGCCTTGACAAACGCCACCTGCTGATCATGCATGTCCACAATCTTGCTTGGGCGGGGTACCCCGGCTTGTACTGGTTCGCCCGGCACATCGTCCTCGTCTCTAATGGTGCGTCGCCGGGTCGATCAGGATAAACGGCTGCTCCGTTCGTGCTCTGGCGGCCCGCGTTCTCGCCGATCCGGGTGCGGCGTCGCGGCGCGCCACGGGATCCTGCTTGCCGTCAATCACGGCCACGCGCGCGCGGGTAGGAAAAGTTGACGACCACCCAGCTTTTTGATCGAAGTCCACGTCGGCCTGGCTGGACACGCCAAAGGCCCCGACGGCACCCGGTAGCCACGCCCGTCGAGCGCGAAACGGCGAGTGACAGGATGCCCGCGGGTGCCGGCCGGGACGCCGGATCCGGAGATGAAGAAGCCCCTATCTCTTTTACACCAGTCCGTCGGGGGAGGCAAAAGCAAGAGCGGGCATTCACAACTTACTGGGGTGCATGTTTGGTAGTACCAGCTGCTGCCGTCGCTCAGCTGCGCACTCCGTCGGCTCCATCCGAGTCTCTTGCTGTCGCTTCGGGTTGGAGGAGCCGCCCTGAAGGCCGACATAGTTGAGCAGCGTCGTCGCACTGTCCCTGTTTTACCCCGCGTCCTGCACCAGCTGCTCCGCCGTCCCCCCGGCTGGTCTCCAGTCCCGAATACGCCAGCGTCCCGCGGTCAGGTCCTGGTCCTCCAGCCCGGGGAACCGCGCGTGCTGCGCAAAGAAGGCGGCGTCGGCGACGGCCTGCTCCGTCATGAAGGAATCAATAGTTGGCGCCGGACAGGTCCGGCACGGGGGGAAGCTGCTGCCGTAGTAGCGGTGCTCCAGGACGAGCAGCAGGCCCGAGGTGGAAGCGGGCGAGGAGCGCGCCGACGGCTGTTGGTCAGCAGCGGCTTGTGGTACTCGGCGGTGACCTCGCCGCCGGCGATGACGATGACGGGGCCGCCAGGCTTGTTAGTGGGAGGACTCGAGAAAAGTACCGCAGTGGGAAGGAAGTCGTCCGAGTGAGGCTCATATTGGCTCTCGTTGTGGAAGTGGTCCACGGGCACGGAGAACGTTCAGTTCCTGGACGCCCACCGGACAAGGCTGTCTGGCTGTATTTGGTTCCGAGACTTTCCTGGGAGGCTTGGAGCCCCGTTTGGCCTGATGGTAGTGGCGGACTCGGCGATGGCTAGGACGATGCTAGCTAGCCAAGCCTGAAACTCCACATGATCGCGATATAGGCGGTTGCGAGAGACCCAAGTAGCCATAGTGCACAGCTGACAGAGATGTACATCTAGGACAATGAGGGATATTCCCTTCGGTTTATATAGCCTCTCACCACTCTGATGATGCAATACCAGAGTCGTGGCCAGAGCGGCCTTGCTGTCCTAGTTGCCTACTTAGGAAGGAGTCATGATGGTTCGCGACGTATCAGTAACAGCGGCTCTGAGAGGGCGGCATTTGGCTGGATCAAGATTGACGTCTATATTATCTCCTGACCTGTTCTTATGTCTTGTTGCGCTGTCATTCAATATCTTGTCTGCTGTTGTGAGCTGCACGAGGATGGCTTGGCCGGAACCAGCCTGTGATTCCAACATGCTCATAAATTTTGTACAACTGTCTGTTCCCTTCCCCCCCGCCTTTTTTTTTCCTTTTTTTCCACAACCAGTCAAAAATCATTGAAATCGCCAGCATACGTCGAAGGTATATCCACCACGCCGTTGGATGAAAACTGTTCGCCGCTTTTCCCTGCCCCCCCCCCCCCCCCTCCCAGGACTCTCTACCTTCTTTATCCGCTATTTCACCCTATTGTATATACATAAAGAGTTGATAAAACACTAGCTTTTTATTGAATAGCTAACTGGTAGTACTGATAATTCTTTGTTGGAATTATCGGGTCAAGTCTGCACTTATCTGAGTCCTCTCTGATCGAAGAAAATTTTAGAAAGCGGCAAATCAGTCCTTGTCCACAACGTGGCCACCGACCCATCAATGAGCTAACAGACTTGGCCCGGCCTATTTTAACAATTCGAGCAAAAAACAGCGTGGGGCCAATCTATCAATCTTTGTAAGTCTTGTTCATTTCTTAGTAAAGACTTGGATTCGGGCAGCCATGTATCCACGGCCGGCAGCTCCGGAGGCTCTAGCGCCGGCATAGCCTCCGACATGTGGGTGCCAGCGCGTCCAACAAAAGCCGGCATGTGGATGCAGCCCGTTAAAAAAATATATATATATATGAAAAAAAAAAAGTTGGTTCTTGCTCTTGCTTGCCATTTAGATTCCCCGCTCATTTTTTTTTTTTTTTTGGTAATATAATTATGGAGGCCGATTGAACGGGGATCTGATGTCATTCCGACCTAACCGGGAACCCCAGAATATCGCTCAGAAAAAAAGCTTCCATCTCCCCTATATTCCCCCCCCCCCCTCTTTACAACCCACCCGACATTGTTACCAGACCGAGCATAATTACCTTTATACCCCAAATTCTTTACTTATTCAACACGATTCAGTCTTGATCGTCTTCCCCGTCGTTGCCGAAACGAGAGAAGAAAGGGAAAGCAAAAAAGCAAAGAGGTTTTCAGCAATCCCCCCCTCGCGCCTTCTCTTTCCCCGCAACAGCAACTCTCAGCGCCAAAAAAAAAAAAAAAGAAAAGAAAGCACACAACAACATGCCTTCGACGACGCCCAAAGTCTTCATCATCCGCCACGGCGAGACTGAATGGTCGCTTAGCGGAAAGCATACGGGACGCACCGATATCCCGCTCACAGCCAACGGAGAGAAGCGCGTACTGGCGACGGGCAAGGCCATGATCGGGCCGGACCGCCTGATTGTGCCCGGCCAGCTCGACCACATGTGAGTTTGCATCCCCCCCTCCCCCCTCCCCCCCCCCCCGGCTTGACGTTGAAGAATGAAATGCTTCTTCCTTTTCTCTTCTTTCGTCTTCTCTTGTCACACACACACACACACACTCCCTCCCTTGGAGAAAACAGGCCCATGTTCCCGTAACATCTGATTTCTATCCCGTTGTGCAACCCCGGGATGGAAGGGGAGGGGCGTGTGTCAATTTTTATTATCCTGGACTTGCCCCGTGCGGCCATCTCAACCCCAAACTTCTGACTCGTCTTTCTTTCTTTTCTTTCGTGTGTCTCTTTTTATTTCAGACCCCCCCTGGGCGGCGCATCAGAGACACGGCATAGGCCCGTCCCCTCTTCCCGGGTGGGCTTTGAGACATGCAGGGCGCGCCACGGGGCAATGTGACAAGCGATAATATTCCCCGTCATTGGACCAGATCGTTTCTTTTTTTTTTTTTTTTTTTTTTTTTTGTTTGTGAACAGAATGCGTTGCTTGCAGCTGCAGTGGAACATGCTTTGCTTTTCCATTCTTCCTTCTCCGCCGCCTTTCCTGCGGTGTAGTGCCTTCGTCCGGCTTTGTTTCCGCATCCGAGACACGTGTCGGACATTTTTTGCATGCAGCCCATTCCTTTTCTCGCGAATGCCAGATGTCACTTTGAAACCTTTGTCTAAAAGGTCCCGTCTTCCCTATCTTCTCTTTACCTCGCGTGGTGTTCCATCTAGTCGAGCACACACTATCGTTAGTGCTGCGTGCGAGTGCACCGTACACCCCTCTTGTTTTTCTTTTCTTTTTTTTTTCCGCCATGTTTTGTATCTTCTGTTGCTCATTTTTTCCGCCTCTCAATCCTGAAACAATGACAAGATCAATCGAGACAAGGCTGACCTCTTCACAGCTACGTGTCGCCCCGCAAGCGTGCCCAGCGCACCTTTGAGCTGCTCAACCTCGGCCTGCCAGACGGTGCACTCCCCTGGAAGCCCCACGGCGCCCACCCGTGCGAGGGCATTCGGTGCGCGGCTGCGGTGCAGGTCGTCGATGACATCCGGGAGTGGGACTATGGCGACTACGAGGGCATCACGACCCCCGATATTCGCAGGATACGCGCCGAGCAGGGCATCGAGGGTCGCTGGGATATTTGGCACGATGGTTGCCCAGGCGGCGAGTAAGTCTTTTCTTTTTCTTTCTTTAGGTTTTCTTTTCTTTTTCGACTTTCTTTTTCCGGGTTTCTTTCTGCAGTTTCAATCCCCCCCCCCCGGCCGTACCCACGCTGACCATGTTCCGCCGATAAGGAGCCCACAGGACGTGACGCAGAGATTGGATGAGCTGATTCGCGAGATACGCGAAAAGTATCACGCTCCGGTCCTGGACGGCACGCACCCGAATCCCGCGGCCACGGGCAACGTGCTCATCGTCGCGCATGGCCATATCCTACGCGCTCTGGCGCTCCGCTGGGCCGGTCGCCCGCTGGATGCCGGTCCGACATTTTTGCTCGAGGCGGGCGGCGTCGGCACACTGAGGTAAGAGAGCACGCCAAATAACGCCCGGCATGGAAAGGTGACTCGGTCCGCTAACAACTCAATGTAGCTACGAGCATCACAGTCTCGATGAGCCCGCCATTCTGCTGGGCGGTGCTTTTGTTGTTGGCGATGACTAGATGCATGTAGAAACTTGGAACGCAATATCAACGACATCATATAGTCCGCAACCAATCATTGTTGACCACTACCAGTCTATGCCATGACCATGCAGCATGGCCGAAAACACCTACTTTTTGTGCTGACTCACATGTGACCTTCAGCAGTCTTTGTACCTCTGGCAAGGAACAGCCGGCGACGCATTGTCTGTCCCTGCACCGGCTTATCCTCAATCTCAATAACCGTATTCAGCTCCTTGTACCTAAAGTCCCCCGCCGCGCCCGCCGCCTTAAACAACTTGCGGATCCTTTCCTCGTCGAAGCCGAGGTGGTGAACGCCCCGCTCGGCGAGGAGGCCGCCGTGGTGCGGCTCCGCGCCGTGCGGCAAAAAATCGAGCACAAACAGCGATCCGCCAGCCGCCAGCCGCCCGGCCAGCCGCGCCGCAGCCAGCGTCGTGTCCTCAAAGTGGTGGAAGCCCATGCCTACGCCCGCCACGTCGAAGCCGTGGAACAGCTGGCCGTCGAGGCTCGCCGACGGGGGCGTGCTGAGCAGGTCGCCGAGGTACGCCCTGCGCTTATCCTCGGGCACCTTCTATGAGCATAGGTATTTGTTAGCAGAGATCATCGTCATGGGGGACGGCGGGGTAACGTGTTGCATGCGTACCGCGCTGACGGCCTTGGCGTTGTACGCGCCAACCATGTTTTCGGTAATGTCGACACCGACTGCTTGGCCGATGGCATCAGAGAGACTCTGTTGGTTCGCGATAGTCAAAATCGGTGTTCAGCGGACATGGCAAGGTAGTTTGGGGTTGAACAAACGATGGAAATAAAGCCTGTGCCGCAGGCATAGTCGAGTAGCCTGCCACCTTTCTTGATACCGATAAAGTCGGTGTGAGCACGAAGTTCAATCTTCAGCGCATCCAAGCATTTGGAAAATAGCTGATCGTAGTCGGCGGCGATCTTACTTAACACGAGGTCCTGTCAGCGGTTTGCAAGGCACGCGTTCTAGGGTAAGATGCTGGGCCACGACACGTCCACGTTGCTTGATGAATCTGGACATGGCTTGGGAGCGGCGAAGCTTTGGGACATTTCACAAGAGTCTCCATCATGGACATGTGTCCTTGACTTACTTGAAGTAGTTTGTGTTCGCTTCTGTAGAGGTAGACATGTTCTGTGTGACGAAATCTCCGAGCGGGTATCGCGACTGTCCAAATTTCGGCAAGAGATATAAATACGTCTTGGGGCTTTAGCAAGCATACAAGTGACACAAGTTCTATGCCTAGCGCCAATATCAATTTTGCAATCGTCTGTTTCTGGCTGCTGCAAGTCTGCGATTGTTGTATTAGCAGGCTCTCCCGCGCCGATCCCTAGCGCTGTATATATCCTTGCGTGGAGACTTTTGTCGGAGACTTTATTAGTGGGATCCAAGCCAAAACTCTCCGCAACAGCCGATCGAGCATCGATATGCTAAACTTCGACAGTTGGCTATTTAGTGAAAAGTGTCCGAAGTACAGTGACATGCGCATGACTGATTGTCCAACCTGCTCAACAGACACGAGGCAAACTCGACAGCTATCCGGGTCCCGTGAGGGAGGATGACGTGCGCTTTGAGCAAATCATAATAGTGCTGCTATCCCATGCAACCCGCGGAATCAAGTATCCCGGAGCCCAGCACCAAAAGCGCAGATCAGAGAAAACCATGTGTGAAACAAGAGGTAGTATGTAGGTAGGAGTCAGGCTGGAAGTGCCGTGATTCACGCCCAAGTTTATTGGGTTTGAACAAAAAGAAGCAGTGCGGGTGTTGCCTTCTTTGACCAGGACTTATCGTCGGAAACCTTGAGACAAAGCAGACCTCTACAGGTGCCATTTTCAATGAGTTCACGGTGTCTATTACTTGCACACCTCGGCTGCGCCCGAGCATCCCGCATCGGGAATCGTACTGCTCGAATTTCGCGCGGCCCGGTGCCCTCAGGGTTGGCGGCTGATCATGCGATGACAGCCTTCCAGAAGGGCGCGAGTCTGTACCACGCTTAGAATTCAGAGCTGGCATTCAATGCCTAGATGAAGCGGGATCTACCAATAATAACAAAGGGAGAACAAAGTTACCCGTTTATTGGGTCCCGGGAGGCGGAAAAGCATTCCTGGCGAGGGTGTCTCCAATATTAGCCTGCGGGAGCTTCCATGAGGCGCTCCCTCGGTTTTTTGATGCATCGGGCAGCTAATATTGGACAGTGGGCGCAAACTCCACCAGCGGGTGCAAGTGCCGACGGGGGTGGCCGGAAAGCAACGGGGCACGCATTGCCTCAAGGCGGGCATGCCCAACGGCGCGTGTCGGGCCGCCATTATCAGTTTCAAGGTATATCCGATGAATGCAGGGCGACTGGTGCAACTTCGCATAGTCGACGGGGCAGGGTTGTTATCGAGGTGGTTGGCTGGTCGTGAAAGTGGCTGAACCAGCCAACGCATCATCATGCCAATTTTCTTCACCCATTAGGCACCAGTTTGACACGGGTTCCACAAGATGTGCGCTTTGCAGGTCAGCCTGCATGCATGCGCGGTCCCGTGCCATTCACTCCGCCTTTCCCATATGGCACAAAGAGATCCTAGCCTTGTTCAAGTGGCTGGCTGGGGAGCAAAAGCATTCCTGCGTCAAGGCGGATATTCATATCCGTTCTCCTATAAGTGGCCGGGGTCTGCAAGCAGGCATGGCCTGTTGCTCGACAACTTGGCAACCTTGTCAACTCGTCACCAAATCGTAGACAGAGACCGGGGCTGGAATGACACTATCCGGTAAAAGTCACAGGGGGACATGACCGCCTCGAAAGGACAGGGTTCTGAGCTATAACAGGGGCCTGTCGCAGGGAGGGTCGAGACATGATTCCCTTCCAAGCGGCGCTGTTCCAAGGCCGTGTCGCCTGGATGTCTCGTGCTGTTCGCCATGCGACGCAACGACCTGGCAGCGGCAAACGACTGAGAAGACAGCTTTCATTCGAGGAGAGCACCTAAGTTGGTTAGGTGCACAATTGACAGGGCTGGTAGCAGTGGAATTGGGTTCTTCCCCACCGGACGAGAGCGGGACGTCTCATCCCATTGCACCTCCTCTCAAGGTTGTACCAGTAACTAGCGCAGCAGCTAACAGTTGGGTTTGCTCTGCAGGTAAGGCTCCGGACAGGGGCCTCACAAAGCTACCAGTAATTCATGGATGAATGGATCTAGCGTAGTTGGCGTGGCTGGCTGGCAGCTACCTGGATCACCCGTCGAGAACCTGGTAAAGGCCGCCGCTTTTGCCTGGTTTGCGCGCTTGAAACCAGCCGACCAGTGAGAGAGACCGACTCGCGATGCAAGACTTCCCAGCGAATTCCTGTCACGGCAGCAAGACGCAGAGTCCGTCAGTTAGCCAGATGTACTCCGGAGACTGCCGCAAATAAGAACAAAGGCCGGAGTACAGGTAGTCGGCAATCGGAGGGGAAGGACGGCCTGTGTGGGCGGACCGCAGTCCGTAGCGCATGCCATGCAGGGATAGAGATTATTGGGCAAAGGAGAGGATACGGCGGCACCCAAGAACGGGCTGCCCTAAAACCGTAAGATTGCGGCCAAGAGGGGGGGGAACTGGGCTGCAAGATTGTCAGTTTAATGACCATGGCTAAGGGGGGCGTGTACATTAAATGTCGAGACGAACTAGGATGACAAGTTTGTTGCAATGCTCAATGCTCGGTCCTGCCGTCTGTGCTCTGTCGAAAGAAGAGACCGGCAATGAGGCCGGTAAGATTGTGAGTACCGGGAATGACCGAAACGATGAGCAAACCTATGAAACAAGCGTTTGCGCGATGGACCGTGATGACGATGATAGTAATGGGGAAGAATAGAGTTCCTTTGGCTGACAGGCAAACACGCCAAGGGGACCCTCCCATGGATGGGAGAGACACAGAATGGCACGACTGGTAGAGACGGAGGGGGCAAATTATGGGGCATTCCCGCTGGGCGGCTGCATGCTGCCGATATGCATCATCTCGCCCGCATGAGAAATTCATCACGTGAGGAGGAGACGACGTGACCAGACCCATTTTTAAGAAAAGGAGTTAGGATTAAATTAAAATGAACGAATAGAAGCAGAAGAAAATGCCAACAGGGGCCAGCGCCAGATGGCTGCCATATCATCAAATCATAGGTATTAGGCGGACCGGGCCATGCGCCGTTTTAAGGTGGGGGAATAGGGAGACATTAACATGACAGTGCCAGGAAAGAGCCCCGGGTGTGTATTTAGCACGGTACGTCATATACGCACGACCCGTCATGGTAATGAGTGAATACCCAGTATTGAGCACAAGTTGCTTTTCTCGTGCTGAGCCGTCGCGTCCGAAGCCTTGACTCCATGTTACCAATGTAACTCTGCGAAAATGCGGCAAAATCCGCCCTCACATCTCAGTTCTTGTTGGGTCGCACTGCTCCCCGCCACACCACCTGTAGCCACAAATTACACCACGACAATGGCAACTGGCCGCCTCTTTCCCGGGGAACAAAGACTCAGAAATTCAAAGACGGCTGTTCAAAAATAGTCATGGAATCTTGCCGGGTCGTCCGACTCTGCAACTCCAATCATCACCACCATCCCTTGCTGATATGCAGTATACCCATAGCACATGATGCATCGCTGCCTTGCAGTCTTGTCTCGGCAGTTGCCATTGCAGCCCAATTATGCAAGCAAAGGCGACATGAAATGCATGTCGGCCAAAGTTCTATTATGCTTGAAAACCTCTCCGTTCCCCGGCCCTTCTCTTCGCCATTACCTTTTCTCTCTTGTTTCTGGCCGCGTCTCGTCCGCAGCGCCCCCGTTGACAGTGAACCCCCTGTGGCTTGCTTAGGTATTTTACTTAGGAGTGGCTGAAGTACCCCGCTGTAGCTTCGCTTCGACCCCGGCCGCCCCCAGGCAAGGGCCCAATGCCGCAGCTGCTGGCATAACAGCTTTTAAAGAAAACGGTGTAATAGGATACTGACAGATTCTCGACGAGCTACTCTCTAGCTGCAGGTCTCTCTCTCAGAGAAGCACAGACTTGATTGCGACAGACAGACAGAGACATTACTTACAATGCTACAAACATGCCACCACACCACCTGTCTGGGGTTGACCCACTGTGCACCGTCGCCAGCTAAGACACGAATCGCATAGAAAACGGCTGGTGCATGATGATTCAGATACTTTGTCCTAAATTGTGATAGAGTTGCCTGTCACACTCAGACACTCTAGCTGTAGCTATCACCAGTCATGGCTCGCCCAAAATTACCTCTGTATCCTCAACCAAGCAATGCCTGCCATAAAAGCGCTGATTCGTCATTGGCTTTCCATGAGACAATTGCCCCTGCTCGCAGTGTTCAAAGCTTTTGGACAATAGTGCCCATCATCAAGAGCATGTTTCGAGTAGTCTCTGGTTACCTTACCCTCTTCAACACGGCCATTTGTAGCCCGTTTTTGCTTCTTCGCGACTCACCATCTATTTACACGATGTTCCAATTGTGATGCGTTGCACCCTGCTAGTCTCACGCCTGGCATTGCCATGACATCCACTAAAAACCAGGACAGGCGCCTGCAGCCAAAATGCTAGCGCTCATGCAACCGATAGGTGACCTGCAGGCTGGCTGATGTTCCTCTTCAGCACCAGCTGGCCCTTCACCATGCCCTGCCAATTGCCAATCAGAGCAATAAAAATCAGCAGCTGGTCCTTGCTAGTTGCGAGTGACTGTATCTTGGACACGATCCACCGAACGCGGCGCTGACTTCCTCTTTCGCCTAGCAATCTATTAAAAACTCGAGGTGAAGCTTCCGTCGTATCGCTCGATAATTTTTACCGGTGTGCAGACAGATTGTGTATCATGCGGCCAATCTGGATCTTGCACCGGGGCAGAAGACCATTTAGTGCGCAGTCTGATGTCTTGATTGATGAAATGCGAAGATTTAGTGGTCGCCAGATGCATGCAGCGACTGAACCACCGCTGGGGCAAAAGAAACTCGAAAAGTCGCCCCCAGGCAAGCCCGTCCAGCTATGGTGCCTTAATATCACTGGCCCGTCCTGGTGCAGGGAATTGGGCGGCGCTGGCCATGGCTCGGCCCGACCAGTCTGGGGGCAGGCATGTCGGCTCGAGAACAAACACGCTGCTGGAGTTGGGCTCCGCCATGCGCCAGCATGATTGATTGCCTCGTGGCCAGTGATTGCTCGCAACTTGTTTCTTTTTTTATGTGTCCAATGACGCTGGGGCAGGGCCACGAGGGCTTGTTTACTGCCGAAGACCGATTCGAGGGGCGTCGTAAAATTCTTCAACTGACATGACCTTTGAGCCGGCGAAAATTGGGCCTGGAAAGGATAGTCGACGAGCCTGTCATCGCTGGAATCATGCTTCTCCTTGAGGTCATTGGCTCGAGCACCCGTCACGAGAGCCCCTCTGACCGCACTTCCAGCTGCGGCTGGCGTCCAAGGATACGCAGCTTCGACTGTCCGGAGAGCCACTGTGCCAATGCTTGTGGAGTTGGCAGCCCCTCAGTAGCGTAGCAGAGGGGGCACCACATGGCAAGCAGCCCCTGCTACGCACTGTAATTGGTGGCCACAATAGCCAGGTTCCTGGGAATGGCGACAGTTTGGTGCGTTTCCAGACCCTCGGGTGGCACTATGGCCATTAGTGCCCTCCACAGGGCAACCTCCTTACGATTCGGTAGACGTGACGTCGCCGCCAGTGGGAAGCCCAGGAGCCATTCTCGCCGCCTTATGTGTGCGTGTAACGGCCCACCGCCACCGGAATGGTACGAAGTGCTGAAATGCTGAAAATGGTATTTGCGACGCGGATTCGCCAATGAAAGGATGTAATGACACTTTGAGATATGTACACCCCTTGGACGGACTGCGTCTTTTGAAAAGTTTTGCACGATTTGCTCGTCCAGGTCCCCATCCCGTCGAACCCGATCCACTGGCGTTTGGTCCAAAACACCTAGGCTGCTAGGCTGGCCGGAGTTTGGAAGTGATTGGTGAGCTAAAATTGAATCGAAATGTTTTGCTTCGATGAACCAGGCACGACCCAAAGGAGGGGCTCGGGTAGCGCGCTGGTTTGCAGAATCTATAGCCCCCAGTGTATACTTATTATTAGCATCCGCTTCTAGAAGACTTGCCGTGCTGCGATATCCGATGTAATAACTTATCGAGGAGCACTGGGATTCTTTCGCCGCAGGATGTCGCGTGAAACAGAAAATGGTTGAGATGGAGAAGTTCGTGTAGGTTGCATTCGGTGTTTATCCCGGGAGAAGAATCTGCCAGCCGCCAGCTGCCAACCAGGTACCTACCCGCGCAGTGCACGTAAACTATACTTCTTCATGTCTGATGCTCTGCCATCCTCTGCAACAGCTACGCATCGCTTTTTGCAAAGCGCACTCGATCAAGTTTTTCTAACAGGTTCAACGCGGTAGGACGATTATTCCATATCCCAACGACTGGTGGATTGGTCCTTGGCAACTATGAAGCTAAACATCATTGTGTGTGATCCCGACGCTTCTATGCAAGCACAAACGGCCAGCATACAGTGAAGGTTTTTAAGAACAAACAAAAGTTCGAAAACCATGGTTTGAATGCTTACTTCTTTTGAATAGGCGTCAGGAGCAAAATCACACGCAATTGCGCTGTATTTCGGCGACATCTAATCACACACTGCCCATTGACCGGTTGACGACTCAGCCGTTACCAAAGGTCAAGACCATGCGGCTCTTTTCAAGCCCACAAGCTAGTTTCCTCATGTGGAATTCTGTTGGACTTGCATGGGTCGGTCGGCATCTGTGCAACGCCATCTGCGCAGCCAGTGGATGCTATTCACGCCATACTTGCAAGGATAGGATACGACTGGCTACGAGGCTAGCTAGCTAGCAGTAGGGAGCATGCCGAGTCGGTCTTTTGGCTAATTTTTAGAAGGTCTACCCAGTAATTGGGCTGAAGATACATACCCTGATTTCCCTCCCTGTCTCCCGCGTCTGGCGGCTGTCAGCCCTGTCAGCACTGCTCCCCAGCAAAGCCTGGAGATGGCAAAGCGCCAAACGATTGATACAGCGCAGCCAGGCGCCGTGTTGGGGTTCATTCCATGTGGTACAAGCCATTATTTTATATTATCGATTCAGGCCACACGTTACACAAGATCTGCGACTGATCCTGGTACGAGACAGGTCAAGTGTCAAGATCATCATTTTCAATGGATACGGACGATGACCACCAAGAGCAGCAGCAAGATACGAAGTAGCCACCTATTCATATGAACGAGCGAGAGAAAACATCATTCATAACCTCGGGGGCGGCTCGCGCCGACGTCGAGCATACCCTGCTGTTAGTTGCGGGAACCAGCGGCGCGAACCGTCAGCGGGCCCCCCAAAAAGCTACAGGCTTCCCTGTTCGATGCACAGCTGTGCAGGGGTGGATTACTAAGTATCCCGTAGTGAGTTACTTGGCTGGTGTCCGTCCCAGCGCACGAGTCCTGGCAGAATCCGAAAGCCTGCCAAGCAAAATCACCGGAGAAGCAGAAGCTGAGCTGCCCAGACTATTCGCTGCAACCAAAGAGTGCTGATAGCTATCGAGATACGGGCATCCCCGCCGCCTTTGGGCCCTAATTTGTGACGCAAACAGTTATACATCTTGCGGCCCGATCATTGTCATTTCAACTTTCAGCCACCACGGATTACCTAGGCATCGACGTCATATTCCACGAGGACAAAATGACTCGCGTTTCAGCATCTACGGCCAAAGAGTCTGCTCCGCTACTTGAGACGGTCGTTGCGCCTGTTTGTGGTCTATTTCGGTAGCGACCAAGCAACTAAGCCTCGGGCTAACAAGGCAGCCAAACCATGGCCATGGCAGGGAAAGCCTCGAGATTGTCCGAACCCAATTGAACACGGTCTCGACGACAAGGGCGGCGCTTTGTTCAATAATCAATTGCTCAAATATTGAGCAACGTATATCAGAGCTGCTAACGCCGCGGCTGGTCCCTGGTGAGGTATCGTCTCAGGTATACAAAAAGAAGCCTGCACATGCGTTCTAGGACTGGGGCAAGCGCCAATGGTGGAGAAGGAAGCACACAGCTCGTGCATGCTGCGGCCGCCTCTGCGACCTGCAGGCCGCTCCGGGAACGGGCGCCGCGCGGGACCAAGGGCAGTTCTAGCGTGCGACCTCCTGACCGGACTTGCTGCACTCCCCTGCACGCCACCACTACACGCCCCCTACCAAAACGTTCATGTTGCGTCACGGCTTGTTGTCTCCTCCCTGTGAGAGCTGGAGTGGGAGTGGGAGGCGCACCAGGCCAGTGGAGGGTGCGGGCTCTGGCTGGGCGGTGGCTCGGCTAGCAGATGGTGTGAGAAGCAGCCCTTATGCAGCCTGCGGGAGGGGAGACGGAAGGGGCCTGCTCTTGTCGCGGAGCCTGCCATTGCCGTTATTGTTGTCGTACTGTGCTTGTGTACCAATGTGCCAGTCGCATGGGCCAGCCAACAAGTCTGGTGCGCGACAAGGGCACACACCAGCAATGGCCAAGCAAATAGGCCCAGTTTGCCCTGCGTCCCTTTACTACGTTGACACCCCTCACCGTATTACTGGAACGTATTGCAGCACGCTTTGCTCCTTTGCCCTTGTTCTACTCCCTGTCGCTCGTTGAGAGGGCCGCTGCAAGGCTTGCACACATTCTGCAGCACGTAACCTGCTGTTCCTTCTGGCTTTCGGCCTGAGCATTGGGCATCAGACACCTCGTCATCTGGACATTTTCTCTCCTCTCCACCAAACCCGCCATCCTGACCATCGCTTACTTGAACAGTGAACAGTCCTGTCCCTTGAAGCAACGGGTTTGCGGCTGGTATCTGGACTGCACTCTTTTCACATCGTTCCCGGAAGCCGTTGTGCGTCATTGGCGATTATCTTGACATCCCTGCTGTACCACGGTGACACCGCTTGCGGTGCCAAACTCTAACAACCCATCTCTCAGAAGTGAACCGCCACATGCGTAACCGTCACCCGTTTGCGCAGCAACAAGCGGCGTCATCATAACGGCATTGTCGTCGCGTCGCCCTTGTCTATGGGTCGCATTCTTACGGCATACTCTTGATAAGCCCATCCGCGGTTGCGACAGCTGTACCAATACCAACACAGCCAGATCTCAATCTTCGGGTATTCTAACGGTACGGTACGTATTTTTCATCCATAGCCAACGACCACCAGCTTGAATCGCTAGGGTATTCGCCAAGTGGCCGTTTCCTCCAGCCCGGCGCAAAGGATCAATTTGTGGCGATTGCGACTCGAGGCACATGACTTGAGCGATGGCAAGGCTCTCACTGTCGCTGGGAGCAAACTGTCGCCATTGGGGGCATCACAACAGATTGTCACGCACCGCTGTGTTACCCAATTCTCGCTCCGCCCCGAGCCTGAATCCTCTGCAGCCTGGTCAGTCGGCTGCTCCTGTCATTGCCATCTTACCGCGTGGCCGCCCAAGTCGGCGGCTTTGGCGACTTGTCGGCAGCTGGCTAGCAATCGGTAGACACTAGATCTCGGCCGTGGCGGCGCAGAATTGGTTCAAGCCTGGGGCAGCTGTGCCGTGTCAGAAGAGCGGAAAGTCTAACTGAGTGAGTCGCAGGCGCAAGCGGTCCCATCCCACCCCTCGGTACATTGCGCAGCTAGTCAGTGGGCAATCAATTGGACGACTTAGCAGCTGTCGCCCACGATCTTGCTTCTGTTGGCTAGGAACGAGCGACGTAAAGGGTCACCAGTCAGGCCACGACCCGTATTTCGCCTTTGGGGCGGATTCTTAGCGACACCCACAGTAACCAGAACCAGCTTGCGCACCTCGACTAGTTCTGTGTCTACCTACCCAGGGCGGTCCCTACCTTTATTAGCAGCTTTTGCTTGAGGCCAAGTGCTGGGAGCGGCAAGACACCGGTCCATCCGCCCGCTTCTGCATTCCCGCTCAGATGGTCTCTGCCCTCTCCCGCTAACGTACATACATACGGCCCACCACTTGAAGTTCACACGCCCCCCCTCCCCACCACCATTGCCATTTACTTCCACCGCCAGCCGGCCTTTTGCGCTTCTTCTTCCTGCGACAACCCTCTTTTACGCATCCGTCAAGGGCCTCGCGCGCATCCCGTCCGAGTCCTGCTGGTTGTCACCTCGATTTCTCGAAACAGCTATCTGCGGGCTCTGTTCTTGACGCCCTGGCTTGAAGTCGTCAACATCTAGCCGTACTCTTTACCACCGCCACTCCCTGACACGCCACCGATTTGCTCACGAAGCCGCATTCGACTCTAGGTGCAACGGCACGACGCACCTCGCTCAAGATTTTACTTCTGCAACAAGTCACTACTCATCGGCGCGTAGACTTTACTCTCACCTGGTCACCATCACGTACTTCACTTGCTCATCAAATGCGATTTTGACCATCTATCTCGCCAAGCCGCCTCGCATTCTCGCCAATTCAATCTACTAGCAGCGGCTGTATTCCAGCCCCGAGTGTCCATTATAGGACAGACATAGCATGGCCGACGACCGTCATCGTCGAGAGTATCCTCAGCATATCCGTCCAGAGGATCATTCGCAATCTTCTCCTCACTCTCGCTCCTCCATCGAAGAAGCTCGACTCGGAGCCGAACCACGAGGCATCATGGCAGCCTCAGTTACCTTGCCCTCCATTCAAGACCCCCATGGAGGGAGCTATCCTGGACAGCCTCCGCCTAGCCGTGGCTACCCCCCCGATGCACGATATGCCTCGCCCAATGGCGGAAATGGGTATCCTCCTCCTGGACAATCCGGTCACCCGCCAGGTTTTCTGCCTCCTCTGCAACCTGGATCTGATCACCGCGCCCAAGCGTATCCGCCAGAGCATCGCAGCAGCTACTATGATGACAGACGCCACCCTCAGTACAGTGACTATCCTTCCGATTACTATTACCGCCAGCAAGGCCCACCTCCGAACGGCTACCCTCGTGATTATCGCGGCCCTCCGCCTGGCTCGTACCCTCCGGACTTTGGCCAAGGGGGTGGCCCCCAGATGGCGCAAGCAGCACCGCGACAGCGAACGTCTATCGCTTGCAGATACTGTCGAAAGCGCAAGGTGTGTAACTTCCCTTAAGTATCTCCTAGACAATAAGGACTAACGGGCAGCAGATTCGCTGCAGTGGCTACCAGAGCGCCCCCGGAGGCAAGTGCCAGAATTGCGCCAGGATGAACCAGGAATGCATTTTCCAACCTGTTTCTTCTTCGAGCTCTACAGCATTTGTCCCGCTCTCTGCAGTGCAAGGTGGTGTTCCTCCTGGAACACAGCTTTTTGGCGCATATGGCCAGCCTCTGGCTCCCAACTCGGTTCCGGGCGGGCACCATTATCCTCCTCATCATGGAGGGCCACCCCCACCTGGAGGAGCGTACTATGGTCAGCCTGGACAATCACCGACCGAACCCTACGCGCCGTACGGTGGAGATCCCCGCGAGGATCCGGCCGTGGCTGCCGGAAAGCGATCGAGAGATGCGATGGATCGCGATGAAGAATGGCGAAGACAGGCGCCTCGAGGCGCCCACGAGGATGACCCGCGCAGGCGATCCCCCGCTGAATTTTCCAGCAAGAGCAGCCCTGGCGGCGGCAGCTACCCTTATTCCGCTGTTCGGCACAGCCCACATGCTGCCGCTGCATCTGCTGCTCGTTCGCCTGGTGGACAGAACGGTTCCAGTGGCGCGTCGACCCCCGTTCGCCAGCCTGGCGTGCCTGCCACACAGGGCCAGCAAGCACCTACATCCAAGATGAGCTTAAGCAACCTGCTGGACAAGAACGACATTGACAAGGGCATGATTGATCGCCTAAACCGCCCAAGGGACGGGGCTGGTCCCCCACCCCGCGATTAACGCAGCCCTCCCACTGATATCTGGATGTCGTTGGGACACATTGGACAGCTTCGAATGACTGCGCAAATCATATTCGTAATCCACCGCTTGCTGCTGGCAGCGCAATTGGCACCGAGCCATGCGATGGATGGAGTTTTGTCGTCGGTCGACACAGTGGCTAGCGCCCAGGCAACACAAAGCCAACCAACACGGCAATAACAGAAAAACAAAACACAGGAACGGCGCAAATCTAGACGGAATCCCAAGTTTGGCAACAAACGCTCAGTCAGCATCTGTTTATGTTTTTGGCATCTTTCACATTTGTTTGTCACTTTTTCTCGATTTTCGCTCTCGGCTGCGCAGAATTTATTGTTTGTCCCTTGGTCTTTTTTTTTTGCTCATGGTCCAATTTGAGCAATTATTTGCTCGATACGACTGACGACGGCAATGTTTTTCAACGGCTCGTCTCTTTATTTCTCTTTCTTAACTATACGTACGAAGATGGATACGCCTCACGGCACATATCGGTTGGCTGGTTTTCTGATTTCCCTCGATGTCTATATCCCTGTTGTAACTGTTATATTTACCAGAAAATTTAGCGTGCCTCACGTTTTGTGTGCAGTTGGCTGTCGGAAGCGCCCTCTGGCGCTTTTGTCTAGGTCACTCCAACAGGGCTCGCAGATTGCATTGCAGGTGGGCCACTTGGCTCACTGGTTCTATGTAATTTATTAGCAATACAGGCCACTAATGTTTTAAAAATGCCTCTTTTTTTTGTTGTGACACTACTCTATTTGAAAAGTTGTCCATTCGTTGACCCTTGCACAAGAGGGGCTACCTGGTAAACCTGGATGACCAACCAAGGTTAGTGCCACCTTCCCACGTTGATTCTGCTATTCAGTTCTACGTTACTTGGCTCGGATTCAGTGGGCTATATTTTTTCCTCTTTAAACAGCTGCGGCGGACGTGGTTTGCTCGGCTGAACAGTCGAGTCGCTCGAGGACTGCGACTCTGACAAGTGTCCAGCTCTGCGGCTATTTCATCCACCCTTCGTTGATACGGCAGATGCGAACTTGACTAACCGATATGCCCCGCACAATAAAGAAAAGGACCTGATTGTTTCTTGTCATGGGCGGTGAGGGTACACTGCTCGGGAGGTGCCCTGACGACTTGTATCGAATCAGAAGGCAGAATCAGGGTCCGAGCAGAAGCAACCATCTCACGGGCGGGCGAAGGCAGCGGTTCTAGCTCATTAGCGGAGACTAGAGGCACAGTGGGGGATGTATGAGCAGGAAGGGTGGCGTGCTGCTGTGATGCAGAGCAGGCAGACAAAGCAGCAGAGCCAGCCGTGGCGAGGGTGGGTGTGTTTCTTGCCCCTCTCTGCCACAGAGGAGACGAGGAGACTCTCAAGGCTCGGGGGACACGGAGAGGGACTTGCCACCAGTTCCGAGACGCTTTTGACTATGACCCCATGGGAAAGCCAAGCGGTTGACATGACTTGGGCCTCCCACACAGCTGGTCGAGCGCTCTTGTCTGGCTCGGGATTAGCCCGAGGAATGGGATCTCGCAATCCATTCTCCGCAGACAATGAAAAAACGACGCGGGCGGGGATGATGCATGTGCAACGGGGTGAGGGCAGGGTGTTGGGAGGGTTGGAGGGGCACTTGAACCAAGGGGGGGGGGGGGAGGGGGGAAACGGAGGGATGTTGGGAAACATGGAAGCAGGCAGCCAAGCCGTCTACCGGTAGGACGGGACGCCATTCGACGACAGACAGGTTATACTTTTCTCCTAGCGGGCAGTAAGGGCCGCCGGCTGCATGGCGGCCCTTCCTCGACGGCTTGTGGGCACGGCGCCGGTGTGCGAGGATTGGCGGGGGTACCTACATTAGGGTCATTCGGACGAAGCCCCCCGAACAATGGTTGATCCAGGCATAAGGACGGAAACACTGGGTCACAGGGAGAGACGGGAGGCTCGGCCAGCGTATAAACCCGCAACTCTGGAGGATGCGATACTTGTCAGGGCTGACTTGGGTGAGGAACACGAGTTGGTTTCAGGAAATGGCACCAGCTCTGGACCAAAACCGGCCGGTTAGCCTTGGAATCTGGCTACCTGTGGGCTAACTAGAGGGGAGCTATATCTCTTGCGATTTAACGAGAGGGCAGGGATTCTGCAAAAAGGGCTACCAGTATATTGGCAAGTTGTGCAGAGGTGACCGGAAACAGCCAGAGAGGGGCCGTTGAGGAAGTGGGCTTGGCAAAGTTGTGGTGAGGCAGCTCCGATACGAACAGAAAACAGGCCAATAAGTCGGGAAAGAGGAGAAAAGAGGATACAATAAAGAAAAAAAAGACTGTCATTGACGCAAATCTTTCTGCAAGTTTGCAGTTCTCTATAGGCAGGCATCGACAACTGGGGTAACGATGGGTTGGGTCTCCGCTCTGTACATGCGAGAGCCCGCGCCTGTTCTCAAGGATACGCGCGCAGAGTAACAATTGTCACGTTACTTGATCTCTGGAATTAGCTTTTTTTTTGGAGGGGCAAACAAACTATTCCAGCTGAAAAAAAGACGGCGTTGTGTTGCGAGTAATTCATGTTGGTCCTTTTTTTTTCTTGGCCGGATTAGGACAAGATGTCTTTGCAGTTTGAGTTGGACGAACCATCATCAACTGCATGGTGGGCACACACGGCCAAGGAAGCTCCACAGAAGAAACAATAGAAGAAACGCACAAGAAAAAAGGAAAGCAGGTGGAAATACTGTCAAAGTCTTGGAAATCTTGGTTGGAGAGTGGGCAGGATTCTTTCCCAATTTTTCTGGGCGCCGGGCGGACGGCCCCCAAAAGCGGCATGCACAATCGACTAACTACAAGAGCAAAGTGATGGCGAGGAAGGCACTGGGGTCAGCTGAGCGAGAGTAGAAACGAAACTCAAGTTGCCCTTTTTTTAAATAGTTAAGAGGCGGCAGAGTTTGCAGCTGACAGACAGCCAACACAAACGTGAACTGGAGCCCATATTGTGGGGGAGGGGGGGTGGTGGTGTAAGAAAAGACATGGGAAGAAAAAAACAGAAAAAGAAAGGGAAAAAAAGTAAACCTGATGGAAACTCTCGGCCAACTAAAAAACTGGTCACTTGGCGATGATGGAAGGGGGGGAGAAAAGCGACAGGAAACGGTGGTGCATTAGTGTCAGGCCCGTGTTGAATCGCCCATCGACATCGGGGACGGGGGGCTGCCACGTCCACGCCAGAAGAAGGAAAAAAAAAAGTATATAGACGGAGATTTTTGGGAAAGAAGGGAAATGGTATAGATGGCTGGCTCTCTGCTCTCGTTGCCCGCCGCCGTAAGAAGCCAGTTGTCGCCCTGGGGCAGGTAACAAGAAAGGTTTCGCGGCGCAAAGCCGACCGACCGAGAAAGAATGGTGTTGCGGCTTGGAAAGGGCAAAGCACAAAGAAAAACGTGGTGGTGACGTGGTCACTGACGCAGACAAGGCTGAGACATTTCTGGCAGGATTGAGGAATAGTTTCAAGACTCCCCGAATTCGAATCATGTTCTTTGGTTTTGATGTGACATACCATAACCTCCTCGACTGAGTGTTTGTCATTGGGCATGGCTACTGTAACTAGGCACATCTTGAAAGTAGACTTATGAATGCGGCTGGCTGGCTTAACGTGAAAACAGCAAGCCATCATGTGACAGCCAATACAAGACGTTCAGTTGTTTCTTATACCACGGTGTGTGTGTACAACGAGTTGAGAGGAGTGGCGGTGGTGGCGCTTTCTATTCTTTCTTTGTTGCTTGTTTCGTTGGAAGACAGTTTGACAAGGCCAGACCGCCATTATTATGGATCATGGACAGTTAGTTAGGCAACAGCGCCAGCTTGATGGGAGTGCTTGAGGGGTTGAGCTGCCTTGAGGTGGCGACGCTATCTCGATCAGGCAGGCCATCTTGTCTTTGAGCGACGCGGGCACGCTGTGTGTTGGGGGAATGCAATGGGAAAGGGTAAAACTAAAAAAAGGAGATGGCAATAGTTTGACCAAGTGGCTGTGTCTGGCTGTCTCTCTGCCTTTGAGTTTCTATTTAGTCTACCCGAGTATAAGTCGCACATTCACATCTGAGACAGTGCCGCTTACACGCTGAATGGCGCAACCCTTTTGCCGCTACAAAGCGAACAAGAACAATGCAAAAATTTCTTCTCCCGTCTCACTCGACATTAATCAATATTCGAATGTCATTCACTACTAAACAAAGGCTCCGCAGTTCGTCTTATAGCCGCCAAGATGTAACGATACACAGGTAAAGTAACGCCTTTTGGGGGATTGATACGACGGATGAAGCGATATTACACGCACACCTATTCCCACAAACGACCGCAAAAAGAGGCTCCCCCGTCAGCGTCAGCGTCACCGCACTGGGCGGGCACGGTCACGGGAAATCCTCTTTAGGGAGCGGCACGTCACCGAGGGTGAGGGCCGCTTGCCCCCGTTCCCTCGTGGGAAGAACTGGAGCTTCTTTGGTTTTACTTCGGGCTGCGCGAGAAGGGGGGGAGGGGAAGGGGGGACAGCCGGCCGGCCGCAGCAGCAGCAAAGTTTGACGCCATCAGTGGCACCTTCTTCGGGGGGGGGCAAACGAAGAAGAAGGAGAGGAAGGGGAGGAGATGGGAGGGGGTTCAACTAACCGTAAAAGCCTTTGAATCAATGGAAAGAGAAAGACGAGGGGCGTGTGTAAAGTGAGAGAATCGGGGTCCAAGGACTGTATCGTGACCTGGCTGAATTGGGGAACAGTGGCAAGACGTTGTTCGGTCAAGGTCCTGGTGTGTGTGTGTGTGTGTGTGTGTGTGTGTGTGTGTGTCGTCGCG